CCCCCCCCCCCTTCATCCTTATTCTGTTAGTTGGAGTGTGACTGTTTGTTGATTTGTCATTAAACAGCCAAGCAATGGCAATCCACATGTATGATTGCAACGACACGGCCGAGGGTGAACAAACAAAGTAAAGTGAATTATTGTCAATGATGTACATCGAGATGCTGTTAATGAAGTAGGTCCTCTGGGTTTATTTTACCTCTTTATAATGACCAGGATCCCTGGATCTAAGACTGACCACATGTACAAAATTATGGTCATTTTCCAATCTGCGGAGTTTCATTATATATAAAGCATACATGTAAATTTATACCTTTTATGACTACTGTCAATTATCTTACCTTCAGGTCAATCTTGGCAGTGGGTTTCTTCACAGACTCAGCTTTACTTTCTTCTGTGTCCATTTCTTCCTCTTCTACATCTGATTGGATGTCCTTGTAACTATCATTATCACTGTCATCATCATCTACAAAAATAACAAGCAAAATGTATCAATGACCATTGTATGTCAACATTAGCGGAGATTAAGCTTTCTATGGATATGCTACTGAAGCATGTCATGTAGGATGGTTGCTGTCAAGGAAAACTACAAATTATAATCAAAGACACATTTTTAGATTTAGGTTATGTCCTCAAATGGACCCAGTTCTGTAGTGAATTGTAAATAAAATATCAATGTACTGAAGTATATTTCTAGCTATTTTGGAAAATAGATGCTGGCTTATTTTTTTATTTATTTTTATTGAATTAACTGCAAAATTGGGACACAATTGTAGTTCTGTTCTTCAAGAAGGAACTGTTTGCATTGAAATTTATTTTCCTGTTTTTCAAACCTGGAGCACCATTCCTTACTTCCAACTAGAACACTGACAGGTCAGTAAGGGCCCTGTCTTGTGGCAATATATCCCCCATAAACATCAAGATGCAATCTGCCCATATAGCTGAGCTTGACCTTTGACATTTGGACTTCAAAAAGAATCGCAAGGAAGCAAAATATACATTTTACATGTACTATGATGTGAGTCTTGTTTCCTTCCACCTCCATATTTGCTGGGCTAACAGAAATGTAAATACCGGTGCAATACTCATTTGTTAGCTTTGATTTGTTTTATTTCACCTTATATACCTCCTCCATCAAGAGCCAGGGTCAAAGTCAGAGATCCACTTTGTCTTTGACCTTTGTACCCAATTGACCTTGACCATTAACCCAGTGACCCTGATCTTTGGTCAGTTGACTTATTCTTTAATTCTGACCAACTTTGCTTCTTAATATCATAACAAAACGTTCTTCAGTGAAAAATACAAAACTTGACCTTGACCCTTTGGACCCCGTAACCTGGACCTAAGGTCAGTTGACTCTGTGTTAAGTTCTGAACAACATTGCTTCATAATGTCATAACAAAATATTCATCAGGGAAAAGGTACAAAATTTAACCTTCGCCTTTGACCTAGTGACCTTGAGTCAATTGACTCCTTGTTTAATTCTGAGCAACATTGTTTCAAAGTGTCATAGCGAAATATTCACCAGTGAAAAGATACAAAATTTAACCTTGACATTTGATCCAATGATCTTGACCTTTGGTCAGTTGACTCCTTGTTTAATTCTGATCAACTTTGCTTCATAACGTCATAACAAAATGTTTATCAGTGAAAAGATGTAAAATTTGACCTTGACCTTTGAACCTAATGACCTTGACCTTTGACCTTGAATTTTTACCTCAATGTGTATTTTTGTGAACTGAACATCTTGACCAAGTTTCAAGTACATCGGTCAATAAATAACAAAGTTATTAGCCAGGATCAAAATTTGTGGACAGACAGACAGACAGAGTGATTACTATACGGGGCCCTAATTAAAACAGTTCCTATTGGAAACATAATGTTCATCCTAGATTTGATAAACCCAAAGATTTACGCTTGGGTGGTCGGGTGACGTCACGTAGTGTATAACACACTCGCCTTTCAACAAGGGTGCCAGGGTTTGATGCCCTTATCAGACGTTAACAGGTTTTATGTCACCTGCCTGGCCATGTAGGTTTCCTAGGGTACAACGGTTTCCTCCAACATAAAGACCCCCTGTGTGCTAACATACGGGCCAACAAGAGTGATTAATATAAGTTGCAATAACTTGTTTCATTATGGTTGTAAAATCACAAAGTGTATATACAAAGATATTCATTAAAGTTTTCTTAACAAAATATTACCATCTTCTTCAGAATCTTCTTCTTCCTTGTTTTCTTCTTCTTCATTATCCTCCTCATCATCCATATCACCGTCGTCTTCCTCATCCTCATTACTGTTATCGTCATTGTCATCATCATCAGCATCATCACCAGATTTACTTTCACCATCTTCTTCTGGCATCAGTAACTTTCCATCTTTGTAGCTCATATGAAATCTTTCTTTGATAGAAGTGTCCAAGGCATAACTGTAATTATGATTTGTTTAAATGTCTTTTATTATCATTGTCTCAACACGAGTAGATACACAGGTAACATTAGCTATTTCGTTCAAATGTTTCTTAGTAATAGTATCAGTTTGTTTACTTTTTGACATCATGAGAAGGTTTAATCAAGGTCGTATCTACCTAATGTGTATTTACTCGAGATATCCTGTTAGGTGTGCTAATATCCACACTTGCCAACTCTCCCTATTTAGGAGGGAGACACCTGACTTTGGACCCTAAAGTTTTAATATAATACATTTGAAACTGAAACAAAATCATCTGCTAAAAGAAATCAGTCCCAAAATGCATTATATTGAGAATGCACTTGAACCTGTTCTATTTTTAGCAAGTTTTATAACTGGTGTTTTTATGAGGTATAAGTGTATGTAAGAGTGCTTTCTGGACTAAAACAGTCACTTTTATACTGGACGTTTTTAAAACATTCATTATTGAAAAATTTCAGTGTCCCAGTATGCAAGATTTTTTTCTGGGCAAAAACAGTTTCAATTATGAGGTATCAGTGTAAGTAATGGTCTTTTCGGGACAAAGACAGTCCTGTTAACCATGATTGTTTTTTAGACTAAAACAGTCTGTATTATGAAGCCTCAGACTATTTTAGACAGTTTCTAGAGTAAAACCTCCACCTTCGTGAGGTTTCTCTGTTGTGGCAGACAAGCTTACTCACCCATCACTGAGGTCGTCTGCGGAGAAATGAACTCTCTTGGGTTGTTCGTCGTTATCTCCTTCACCTCTCATTCTCCGTAATCTGTCCTCCTAATGGTGACAAATACATCATTGATTACAAATAACTTGTTTGATCATTTTGTCAAAACATGTGTAAAATAAGTCTGATCTAGCAAAGTTAGCTTTTCAACTGTTCAGTTTGTTTTTGTAAACTTCAAATAATAACCTTCTATATGTAATTGTGTGGATTACAACCTCAATGTCTGCGTCTTGACAGATATACCTTTCAGAAAGTATTACTGCACAAAAGATTTGAAATATGTTTATCCACCTCTAAATGACAACATGCATAACTGGGTACTGTACCTCTAATTTGTCAAGTCGTTCTTTTTCTTCCCTTGCAAGTTCTTCTTCAGTTTTCAATCTGTCTGTTGCCTTAAAGTATAAATTACAATGTAAATTGTAGTTCAGGTAGTTCAGAATAGTGGTATTACAGTACAGGAAAATTATTGCATCAACAGCAGTAGAAAACTAAGTTCTACTATGCATTAAAACTTCCAGCCCCTGTTATATAACTCATCCTATTTATGAAAGACTACAGGTAACACTACTTCTAATTACAAAGTTGGTAAATCATGCTGAATGATCTCTTTTCTTTCAATCTTGTTGACTGTTAAGTTACAGTAGCATTTATTTTTCAGAGAAAATGATCTGTGAATGAATGTGAAAGTGGAAGTTTGTATATTGATATCTTAATGTGTTTTCCTCTTTACATGTAACAATTGTAAGGGTCTCACTTCCATTTCTGGCAATCTAAAAACAAACCGAGATGGTTTTCTTGTTGATAGTAATATCCAAGTTAATGTTATTTTACCATTTTCTTTCTGGCTAAATCACAACATGTGATATCCAGCAACTGTCTACCTGTACTTTAAACCTAAATAACATACCTCTCCTTTAGACTCAAACTTCAGCTCTCTGACAGCCATATTGTATACTTTAAACCTAAATAACATACCTCACCTTTAGACTCAAACTTCAGCTCTCTGACAGCCATATCGTATACTTTAAACCTAAATAACATCCCTCTCCTTTAGACTCAAACTTCAGCTCTCTGACAGCCATATCGTAGTCATCTGCTTTTGTTTTCTCCTCAGGATCGTCTTTAGATTTCTGTAACAAGATTATTTTTTTGAAGGTTTATTGTAAGGATCATAATGTGTGAATAAATATGATCTGTAATCAGTTTGAAATTAATGTAATATACAAGTCTACAACACAAAACAAAACTGTAATGAAGTCATATGGTCAATCTTATTATAACTTTTTACGCACCATTGATACACTATTCTAACTACACCATTCACAGAGACGTCTCCTGTTTACCTGTTAAAGACTGCTTTGTCACTTACTAAGTTATGACAGAGAGACATTAAGGTGACATTATGGGAACATCAAGATGATGTCTATGTAACAAGAAAAGAACCATCACAATTACCTTTTGACGAGAGTGATGCGTGAATATTGGGCGAGATTACTAGTGCTGACAACTAATGCTTTGGAACATACTACTTAAGGGGTAAGATTCTTGTATGTTTAATCCTCGGTAAGCATCAGGTTAGACAAATAAGAACATCACCCCTTCTTTTAAGATTTCTTTGTCATACCCTCACTGTAGGCAAGGTCCTATTAATCGACTTCGTAAAACTATAGTGGCCATCTCCACTTTTATAAATGATTTAATATTGGTAGGAGGGTCATAGTTCTACTATATTTCAGTACATAGGTTTATCAATGTGTTGTGCCTCTGCTCTTTACCTTGGATTTGGACATCAGCATCATCAACTCTTTGAACTCAGAGTCAAGCTTTTCCGTCAGCGCCAATGTTTTCTCCTTTTCCATCTGTCTGTCATGCTACAAGAAGAAATGATCACATATTATAATATCTAAATGATAACCAAGAGTTACAAAAGCAGTAAAACGAACAATGAAACTCAAATTAAAAAATACCTTTAAAATATTGTTTGCTTGCTGTTATTCATGAATGACTTCAGGCCTTAACCAATCATTTTTCTGATATTATGTACATATTTATGTGTATAAACAGATAGAAACAAGAATTTAAAACAGCTCAACAGCAGGTAAAGCTAATACCCCCAGTATATAATATAATAGTACATGGAAAGGTCAAGTTCATGGGCTCCAGCTTCAATCATGCTGAGTTCACTGTGAATCCTACTTCTGTTCATGCAACAATGAATGAATATATATGACAGATTTTTGGTGACAAAAAATATACTTGCAAAGGTAAACATTAAGATTAAGGTCATTGCTGGTTGATAGTGATGTGTTTGACAATCAAACACTCTTTAACAGGTATTAAAACAAGCTTGTATTATCTTACCTTTTCCTTTTTTGATTTTGCAATCACTTCTTCCATTTTTTCCTTCCATGATTTATGGTTTTGGTCAGCTGGATTGTCTTGAGTTTCTGTCATAAATCCTCCAAAGTGCTCCTCAGATACCATTTTACCTGTAAAAGAGTTACCAGTAGAAGTTAGTGATCTCCAGTTATTGGCAGTTTATATTTATCAACTCATAATATTACCATGTCAGTGATATATACATGTAGGTGTTGTTTTTGTACTGTTTATATAAGCATCATTACTGTTTATATAAGCATCCTACTGTTTATATAAGCATCCTACTGTTTATATAAGCATTCTATCATCTTGACCGGTTGCTAATATTTTTTCAAAGGACCCCATTGGAAATAAGTTTTTCAAAACTTTAATGGGCCATCCTAGGTAAAAGATTACCAGTTCAAGATTATTATTCAGTCTGTACCTCCAAAATTTTATGTGATATTCATACAAATTGTGATAATACTACTACCTAGTGCTGAATATATGCTTTTTACTTGAAATAATATAATTTTTAGTCATGCGTTTTGTGATATCTGAAGATAAGTCTTTCATCAAATACCATTCTGTGATCTCATTGCTGTTTAATGTAATTTTATGTTTGCCATGTATCTTTTACCTGAATAAACATTATTATTATTATTATTAAGAAGTCATTCAGTAATTTAGCACCAATCAGTGTGGTATGGTTATAGTTTAGTGTATAACATTCTACTCATGGTATTAACATTGTGTTGTCAGTATGACTAGTAAATATGTGCTACTATACCACTTATTTTCCCCCTGTCCTCATCGTTCTCATCGTCACTGACAACAGGATCTTCAAATTTCTCTATCTCTGACAATGACTGGCCATAATGAGTTAGATCTTCATCTTCATCATTCAGACTAAACTTTTTAGATTTGTCATGCTGAAGAAAATAATATACAATTATTTGTATGCATGATGTACAAAATTAGTTGAATAACAAGAGTGTTTATTTTTCATCACACTTAATCTGTATAATTTTATTATAGTGTCTGATACTGCTTGAAGAGTTTGATTCACACACAAAAATAAAAAATAGAATCCTTTATTTAATTTTTATGTATCAGAAATAGGATAATGGGTCAATTAACTCTCATTTCTACCAGAAATCATACAATTTATATTTGTTGAAGACCCAAGCAATCAGATGTGAATTTTGATTTAATTCAAACCAATCTATCATAGATGTAACTTACCGATCTCTCCAGAGCAAATCTTTTCATCATTTTTTCTTCCACATTCATATTGGTATCATTCTCTCCAAATCGCTTGTCCACAAATTTGTTGCTTTTCAACCTCTGATCATACTCATGTGAGAGTGTCTGTTCTCTCTGGTTATTGGCAAAAACACAACAAAATTATTGGACTGACAGTATTTTACTGATTTTCGTTTAAAGGACATACCAGCCTTTATCAAAATCATCCCATTTCCATGGGGGAGATTCTGCATGTTCAAAATCAAAACATTATTATAATGTGAGTACATACCCTTTTGGACAAAATAACCCTTAAAATGACATATTTTGGGTTGTACTTTCAGATGAAATTAATAGATCTTACAATATCCAAAATCGGGAGTCTCCCTCTTAAAAACGGAGAGTTGGCAAATATGTGAAGATATTCAGTGTTTTCCAAATTTTACAGCAGTCTGTTCCAACATCAATTTGGAAAATAAAGCAATATATACAAGAATTCTTACGGTATGTTTATTGAAATTGGGAAGGTATTCCTCATAAATTTTTCATTAAGCACTTTTGGCTAAGGGAAGCAACTGAAATCAGAAATTAATTCATAAAACTGATACAGATATATAAAAGAGTCCAAAGGAGAGAAACTATATTTGTTCCCGTACTCCAATTACACTATAAAACTAACTACCAATATAACTATAATCAGATCTAGATGCAAAACAAGGCAAAATCATTGATATCCCTACCTCTTTCAAATATGCCAACAAGATTGGTAGACACCAAACAGGTAATTCATTGTTTGATATGTCAATGAAGTACTTAAGGTATGGACACACTTATACTGACCTACCTTCTTTATGGCTTTTGACCGAGACAAGCCTGGCATGCCCTTGTCATGCTTGGATATTTTCCTCCCCAACACGTCATGTTTCACCCTGTTGATCTTCACTTCAAAAGGGTTTATCTTTTTAGCAGAAGGCTTCTGCTTATTTCTCACTTTGTCAGATATATTTTTCTTCTTTTTCGCCATTGTGGTGTTTGTTTACATCTCCCTGCATAAAACATATTAACATATAAGCATTTGATTGGACAGTCTTGACCAGATTCTCATAATGAGAGCATACCTGGTATGAATAAGGGAATTTTTCCAAAGGATTATCCTAACAATAGCATCAATTCAAGTAACTAGTTTCTAAGCCCTTAAATATGAGGTGAACTGTACCATATTAATGAAGTGGAGCAAAATTAAACAGCAATGTGCTTTATATTTAGACTGAAGTTTTAACTGAAAAGTCAGTTTGCAATTATATCTATCTTTACTCTACAATGGCAACTTATCCAATCCTCTTGTTAATTGTTATTGAATGATGCCATTATGCAACCTGTTTCTGTGCCCTTCTATATATAGCGCACATTGAACATACATGTACTGTGATACCACTTCGGTCCAAAAAAATGAAAGAATATCTGAAGATTTTTTATCAGATACATTTTTGAATCACTACGCAATTTTTGCATAGTTAGATATACCTAGTTTTACTAAGAATAAAGTTGAAATTTACAGAAAAATATTACACTATCCCCCTTCTAAATCTAGTCCCGAGAATTGGCCTGGGGAATCCAGTGGGTCCTCCCTGTGTACCAATGCACCTTCCCTTAGCCACAGGAAACTGGCCTTTAGTCACATGATCAAACAGAATCGCACGCTGCCTTATTTTTATTTATGTGTACGTTGTTATATGTGTTTATTTATGAAATTGCATTTCATTATTTTGTTTGAAATAACTTGTTGTCCAATCCATTTGTATCTTTGTACAATAAAATATGTTTAAACTATTTTAAAACAAAAAAAAAGAGAAACTAGGGTATTTGCTTAAACCATAACAGCATTTAAATGAATTAACATCATATTAAATGTATTTCTCCTGTATATGCATAATATATATCTTTTCAATAAAAATTAAGTATTTTTACTTTTAATTTGAATGTATTATAAACAGGTTGGGCACAACGGCGCATATGGGTAATAATCCTGCATTTGGGTAACATCTTTATATGTTATGGTTGAATGCACTTCGAATCTACTTTCACTATCCTATATAAAAAATCAAAATTTTGTACTTCACTCACGTTATTAAAAATCGACATATCTATTGGTTATTACAAACAACTTTTGGTTGAACAGTTTTTGGTTCTGAAAGTATTTCACGACCTTTGAAGCCTTAGAAAAGTCGGTACATCTAAAATCACGAAAATGTCAAAACACGAAAAAACGTTCAACCAAAAGTTGTTGATAATAACCATATAAATAGCGATTTTTAATAATGATAGTGAAGTACAAAATTTTGATTTTTAATATAGGATAGTGAAAGTAGATTCGAAGTGCATTCAACCATAACATACAAAGATGTTACCCAAATGCAGGATTATTACCCATATGCGCCGTTGTGCGCAACCTGATAAAGGTTGAATTTATTTCCATGAAGGAAACAATTTCAAGAATACTTTTTTAAATTCAAAATGCAGATCTACATGTGTAAATCTCTGCTTCACATATTTTAGTTAGACTGGTATATTTATTTTGGACTTTGAAAAGGCATCTGACACTGTACCACACGAGCTTTTAAAAAGTAAACTTCACAAATATGTTGTGCCGAAAAATATCTTGAATTGGATTAACGCCTTCCTATCTCAGTGCGTTGTAGTGAATGAAATTAAATCTGAAACATCAACAGTACTATCAGGAGTACCTCAAGGAACAGTTCTTGGTCCCATCCTATTCCTAGTCCATATCAACGATATAGCAGATAATGTAACATCTGAAATTAGTCTGTTCGCAGACGACTGTGTATGCTACAGAGAAATAAAAAACGAAGATGACTGTGCAGAACCACAGAAAGATATTGATACTCTTGGTAACTGGGCTAATAATTGGGGTAAGAGATTTCAACCAATTAAATGCAACATGATGACATTGAGCTGCAAGAAGAAGACAACATCATTCGAATATACATTAAAAGATACCAAACTCCAATTCTTAACATCTATTAAATACCTAGGAGTCAACATCACCAATGACCTACACTGGGGAAAACACATAGATGAGATATGCAACAAATCTTACAGGACATTAGGATTATTGAAAAAAAATATCTTCAATCATGTCCACTTGAAGTTAAACTCCAGGCATAATAAGGACTCATACGACCTGTCCACGAATATGCGAGCACTGCCTGGGACACACACCAAATATATCTTCAAGATCAGCTGGAAAATGTACAGAAAAGAGCGACAAGGTTCATAACATCAAACTACAATTACGACCCAGGTAGTATGACAGCAATTTTAGACCAGCTGCCACTACCATCCCTAAAAGATCGCCGAACTCAAAACAGACTTATCCTCTTCTGCAAAGGCATACACGGTCAAGCCAACTTACCATCTGATCAATTGAAAGAACCATCTAGGATGACCAAGAACATGCATAGCCAACATTACCTGAGATTGCAAACAAAGTCAGACACATTAAAAGTCAGCTTCATACCAAACACAATTAAAGATTGGAACCTACTATCGGATATTTTCACCAAAATTCAAACAGCTAAAGAACCAGCTAAAACTTTCAGTAATATCGTAAGGGGGGTCCCACTTAAGTAAATTACTTAACACACGCGCGGTGTAATAATATCCTTGGATGTGTCACCGTATACCTATCAAGATCAAGACTGGTCACAGGCGCTTCTGCCAAGTAATGTCCACAATCATCACGTTGACTATAATGACATTTTTGTTTTTGGCGCTTGTATCTGTAATTTAATACCTGAGCTAAAATCCAAAACCACTACTTACACAATTGTGATTGTGTAAGTAGTGCATTTTGGATTTTAGCTCAGGTATTAAATTACAGATACAAGCGCCTGTGGGCTGGTGAAGCTGTATGTGGCAGCAGGCCGTTTTGTATACATAATATAATTTCACTGTCACCATCTTATGCCCTTAAAAAAGTACTTAATGATGAATTATCTCATGCTACCTGATATATATATTCAGAATTACTCCTTTCCGTTTTGGAACTTCAAATTTCATGGATTTCGCATTTTAACTGGAAATGTTCAGACATGTGCTTTCTTGACCGGAAGTAGTTTAGATTTCGGAAGTCGTCCTTTTTATAAATAAAATCAGAGATATTCCGAATGATAGTACTTTTTAATATTAAAACGTCGACGTCGGCGACAATCACACTTTCCGGACGTGGTGAAACCAACCCGGAGGGAAAGCAAACCTAGGAAGCCAGCCATGGCAACACCTACAAAAGTAGTGTTGTTGGCCTGTGGATCGTATAGTCCGGTAACCAACATGCATCTCCGGATGTTTGGTAAGCCCTGAAACTAACCTTATGCCGAATTATGTCGATGATCGATTAATGTTTGTGGATGTTGCACTATGTTTGGTTCTGTCTGTCTGTCTGATGTATGTGTCTGGTCAACCCTCTATGTGATTGTACCAGCTGATATTGTAATCCTCTTGTGTCAATGTATAGCAAATATGGAGATAAGGAAGATATTTGCTTTAAATTAGTAACTTATTAAGCCTACCTGGTTTATAAAATGACACTGACTTGTATTTTATAAAATCATATCAGTTCACTTTCGGTTTTGATTCCTGATAACCCAGTAGGTATCGTTTATGCTGATATCTAGACTACATGGCTCAGATTAAGATTTCATTTAAAACAACTATTTATATCTACTTTGCTTTGTGTCAGGCAAAAAAACAGCTTAACAAAATTTAGATATTTCTGCGCACAAAATATTTAAAACAAAACATAATTTGATTTCGTGCTCTTTTTATTTCAAATAGCATAACGCCTTGGGATGTTTTTCAAAAGTTTTTGTACTTCATTAACGTTTAGGACATGTTATAAGTTATTCTACTAAGTGTTCATTGCATCTTATGTAATAAGTACCAGTGAAGACCTTAACAGTCAGATCAGTACATACCCTAAACAGGTTATGATCATGCACTCTTCACAAAAAAATAAATCTTTAAAATGTTACAACAGCTTATGTCTTGTATATTCAGCTTAGAATGCAGAGCCATGCAACATTTTTTTGTTGAACGATAATTTGTTTACAAGATCAAATAGCATCAAACTCAAAATTAATCACTTTTTTATCTTGTTAAAAAAATAGGTATACAAGGACTATGCCTTTTGTTTTAGAGTAGACTATGAAAATACTAGTGTTATACAAATTCTGAAGATCATTATAAAATGTTGAGATGCCAACATTATGTAATATTTGTTCATTAAAAATGTAAGATATTAAAAAATGTCAAATTCTGAATCACCAGGAGACCATGCACGTATAAATGGTCATGATATTTGACATGTAGCTATATATATATATAGTATGCTTGGATGAAGGACTTATTTATCAAGTTTGTTCAATTGCATGACCTTGACCTACCTCTTTAATGTCATAGGGATCAAATATGTAATTCACTTGAAATAATTTTAAAGACTCAAATATCTCTGATATCTAGCTAGCTTTATATATACAAAGTATATCTTCGCTGTTTATATGTTTTTCCGATAATTTAAAAAAAAATGTTTTTTCCATGTTCATAAAGTATTGTCTTTTTGATATCTAATTTGGTCTACAAATAAGACACACATCCATTAGATTAACTGGCATTAGCCTTAGAGTAATAGTTTTTACAAGATGTGGTTTTATATAATTATCTATTACATTGTATCAGCTTATAATCATTTTTAAACATGGTAGGTTGAATTGTAACACAATCAAGTGCAGATGCTCATTAGACATATGCATGTTCCCATTACACTTTGATAATTTTACGAGTTTATGAATCCATCACTTTCTTTTCGAAGAAAAAAACAAGGACAGGTTTTATAATGTATTTTTGCAGTATGTACTATAGTTATCGTAGCTATGGTACAGTATATTAGGCAAATACAATTTGGGATTCTAGCTAGCTGAATATATACATTCACTTTTCTGAAGGAAACCTCTGTGCATATCAGTTTGTTATCGGAATGAATAATTGTGAATGTAGTAGCTATATATAGTCTAAAGTAGATAAATTGTTATGTATTTGCATGAACAGTACTTAAAAATATGTTTAATTAACTTGCAACTCTTTTTCAGAATTAGCCAAAGACACACTGAACAAAACGGGTCGATACAGTGTAATAGCTGGCATCATGTCACCAGTTAGTGACGGCTATGGAAAGAAGGTCAGTAGATGTAACAACTTTTTATCATTCCTGTACATTTAATTTGTTACTCATTCCTGTACATTTAATTTGTTACTCATTCCTGTACATTGAATTTGTTACTCATTCCAGTATATTTATTTTGTTACTCATTCCAGTACATTTAATTTGTTACCCATTCCTGTACATTTAATTTGTTACTCATTCCAGTACATTTAATTTGTTACTCATTCCAGTACATTTAATTTGTTACTCATTCCAGTACATTTAATTTGTTACTCATTCCAGTACATTTAATTTGTTACTCATTCCAGTACATTTAATTTGTTACTCATTCCAGTACATTTAATTTGTTACTCATTCCAGTACATTTAATTTGTTACTCATTCCAGTACATTTAATTTGTTACTCATTCCAGTACATTTAATTTGTTACTCATTCCAGTACATTTAATTTGTTACTCATTCCAGTACATTTAATTTGTTACTCATTCCAGTACATTTAATTTGTTACTCATTCCAGTACATTTAATTTGTTACTCATTCCAGTACATTTAATTTGTTACTCATTCCAGTACATTTAATTTGTTACTCATTCCAGTACATTTAATTTGTTACTCATTCCTGAACATTTAATTTGTTACTCATTCCTGTACATTTAATTTGTTACTCATTCAAGTACATTTAATTTGTTACTCATTCGAATTCCTGTACATTGGATTTGTTACTCATTCCTATACATTTAATTTGTTACTCATTCCTGTACATTTAATTTGTTACCCATTCCTGTACATTTAATTTGTTACTCATTCCTGTACATTTAATTTGTTACTCATTCCAGTACATTTAATTTGTTACTCATTCCTGTACATTTAATTTGTTACTCATTCCAGTACATTTAATTTGTTACTCATTCCAGTACATTGAATTTGTTACTCATTCCTGTACATTTAATTTGTTACTCATTCCTGTACATTGAATTTGTTACTCATTCCTGTACATTGAATTTGTTACTCATTCCAGTACATTTAACTTGTTACTCATTCCAGTACATTTAATTTGTTATTCATTCCAGTACATTTAATTTGTTACTCATTCCAGTACATTTAATTTATTACCCATTCCAGTACATTTAATTTGTCACCCCATCATCATCAGTGGGCTGTTCAAATCACCCTTTGTCTGTGGTCCTTGTTCTGTCTGTCTTTCCCTCCGTTCTTAAACAGTTCTTGTTAGCACTATTTCTTAAAAATTATGTACTTGAGGGATCTTTCTCCAATTTTACATGAAGGTTCCCAGTGGTCCTTAGTTATGCTTAGTAAATTTTTGGACTGATCATGATCAGTTACCAATATGGCTGAAAGGTGTCCATCTTGAATTTTGAGAGTAAAATTTTATTAGCTCTATTTCTTAGAAAGTGATGGAGAAATCTTTCTTTTTTCTTTTGGATTGAGTCATACATGGTACCTGGTATATATAAACAGTGAATGTACCTTCTGTTAACTTGTCTGTTGGATTGAGTCATACATGGTACCGGGTATATATAAACAGTGAATGTACCTTCTGTTCATGGTACCGGGTATATATAAACAGTGAATGTACCTTCTGTTAACTTGTCTGGTGGATTGAGTCATACATGGTACCGGGTATATATAAACAGTGAATGTCCCTTCTGTTAACTTGTCTGTTGGATTGAGTCATATATGGTACCTGGTATATATAAACAATGAATGTACCTTCTGTTAACTTGTCTGTTGGATTGAATCATACATGGTACCTGGTATATATAAACAGTGAATGTACCTTCTGTTCATGGTACAGGGTATATATAAACAGTGAATGTACCTTCTGTTCATGGTACAGGGTATATATAAACAGTGAATGTACCTTCTGTTAAATTGTCTGTTGGATTGAGTCATACATGGTACCTGGCATATATAAACAATGAATGTACCTTCTGTTAACTTGTCTGTTGGATTGAATCATACATGGTACCGGGTATATATAAACAGTGAATGTCCCTTCTGTTAACTTGTCTGTTGGATTGAGTCATACATGGTACCTGGTATATATAAACAGTGAATGTACCTTCTGTTCATGGTACCGGGTATATATTAACAGTGAATGTACCTTCTGTTAACTTGTCTGTTGTATTGAGTCATACATGGTACCGGGTATATATAAACAGTGAATGTCCCTTCTGTTAACTTGTCTGTTGGATTGAGTCATATATGGTACCTGGTATATATAAACAATGAATGTACCTTCTGTTAACTTGTCTGTTGGATTGAGTCATACATGGTACCTGGTATATATAAACAATGAATGTACCTTCTGTTAACTTGTCTGTTGGATTGAGTCAAACATGATACCTATTATATATAAACAGTAAATGTACAGACCTTCTGTTAACTTGAAATTCTGAAGGTACCCAGTACTCTTTTGTTGTGATTGTTTCATTTAGGAACTGGAAAAAAAACCAAGATGGCAACCAGGCAGTCATCTTGGATTTTGACAGTTCAAGTATGGTATTACTTCACACAGCTGGAAATACTGGGCAGACCTTTCTCAAATATACTTTGAACTTTTTCCATGGTCCATTTAAACATTTATTTTTATTTCTCATGTGACCGTTCCAAATGCTCTTTTGTTGTGCTTGTTTCAATGAGGGCCTGATAAAAAAATAAGATGGCAGCCATCTTGGATGTATTTTAAAACTATATCTCAGGATGTACTTGATAGATCTTTCTCAAATTTCCTGTGTGGGTTTCCCATGATCAATGAGTGAGGGACATATCGGAAAAACAATAAGGCCACTAGGTAGCCATTTAAGATTTTAAGAGCTCAAGATTGTTATCGCTTTTATTCTAGAAGTACTCAACAGATATTTCTCAAATTATTAGCTCAACGGGTCCGAAGGCGTCCTTCGTCCGTCCGTCGTCCGTACATCAACAATTTCTTTGAACGACTCCTTTTCTTAACCACTGATTGGAATTTAACTAAATTTGACTTGGAAGCATCTTTAGGTGTTAGGGTTTTAAAATTGTACAAATGGTAGGGTTGACCTCCCAGAGGGCCAAAAAGGGTTATTTGGCTATATTTCTTTAAGTGACTTCTTCTCAGGAACTAAGAGATAGATATCAATCATATCTCACTGAAAGCATCAGGTAGTGGGGATTTAAAATAGTGGGGCTTACACGCCAGGGGGCTGAGGGGTGGGGCCAAAAGGGGGCAATTTGACTATATTGCTATAAACGACTTCTTCTGTAGAACTACATGTATGCACTGGATATCAATCATATTTGGTCAGAAGCATTCATGGGAGGCAGGGATTCAAAATTGTACAAATGGTGAGGCTGACCCCTCAGGGGGCTGAGGGGTGGGTTCAAATGGGCTATATTGCTATAAACGACTTCTGTAGAACTATGCATTGGATATCAAATCCTAAGAATCCTGAGCGGTTTGTCTTTCATTTTCAGAGATCGATTTTTTTTTTTACCTGCGCAAATTACATAGGTGTGCAAATTACATGGGTTTTTGCGGTATTTGGTTGGAAGCATTAATGGGATGCAGGGTTTCAAAATTGTACAAATGGTGGCGCTAACCCCCCGGACTAAAGGGTGGGGCCAAAAATAGTTTATTACTTGGAAATGGTTGAGATCCCATCCTATAACCATATATACAATTGCTGAGTATAAAGAGAAGAATGCACATATGCTTGGATTGCTTCCAGGATGGCCCTGGGGTTTTGTCCCAACCTTGGAGACATAGTCCCTGGGTCATAACTTTGAAGCGGTTGTCAGATCCCCACCCCAAAACTGTATATACAAATGCTAGGCATAAAGAGACGAATGCAGTGATGATATTAGAATAGACTCTGGGGTCTGGCCAAACCCCTAGGGACCTAGTTTCTTAGTCACAGCTTGGAAACAGTTGAGATCCCCACCCTATAACCATATATACAATTGCTGAGTATAAAGAAACGAATGCACATATGCTTCCAGGATGGCTCGTGGGTCTGCCCCACCCTTGGAGACTTAACTCCTGGGTCATAACTTCGAAATGGTTTAGATTCCCACCCAAAAACTTTATATACAATTGTTTGGCATAAAGAGACGAATGCAGTCATTAAATTAGAATTGATCCCGGGGTCTGCCCCACCCTTGCAGACTTAACCCATGGGTCATAACTTTGAAACGGTTGAGATCCCCTCCCCAAAACTAGACAAATGCTGGGCATAAAGAGACGAATGCAGTCAGGATATTATAATTGATCCTCAGGTCTGGCCACAACCCTAGGGACCTATTTTCTGAGTAACACCTTGGAAACAGTTGAGATCCCCACCCATAACCATGCATAAAATTGCTGGGCATGCAAAAAATCTAATACAGATATGCTACAAGGATTGGCCTTGGGTTCTGTCCCATTCCCTTGGATCTTATTTGGAGAATATTTTGCCACGATTGCTTAAATATCCATGTGAGCGATACAGGCTCTCTGGGCCTCTTGTATGTAACCATTATGAAGGTTCCCCATGGTACATAGTTGTGCATGGTTCATTTTGGGATTTATTGGGAAAAAAACGTTTCCATGCCAGGCAGCCATCTTGTTCTCTGAGAGTTTACGTTTGATATTTTTTAAGCATAACTTGACAGTTCTTTCTTTAGTTTCTTATGGAAGACCCCCTAGGTCTCTAGCTGTGCATCTTTTATTGATACTGATCCAGGAAAGCAAGATGGCCACCAGTTAGCAATCTTGGATTTTAACAGTTATTTAAGGTTTGAAATGCATATACGCGCATCTTGGAGAATAGGTTTCAACGGAACTGTGTTGCATACCCTCAAAAAGGTTAAGAAGATGCATTTCTAACCTTAGATTTACGTTCTATAAAAAAGATGATGTGTTGTCAACGGTGACAAAATAAACAGTTGAGCAATAAACAAAGCATATTTTTTAATAATTTAATTCATAATACCAGCATGTTTAACAAGCATTGATTATCTTAAAAATTGACAGTAGATC